TCGGATCAGCTCAGCCCCTAGGAGTGGGTCTTTGTGAGACTAAATCCAGTCCTGGCCTACAGGTCAGCGTGGGCTCCCAGGTCCACTAAGTGTCGGTCATTGCTGTTCTTGAGATGTCTCTTTTCCTGATTAAATAAAGGGCTTGCTCGCTAAGCAGTGTGCTGGGGTGCTTAGGGGTGCCAGCCTGGGGAGGGCCAGGGGACTTTGTGCAGCGTGTCCTTCCACAAGGGTCAGAGGAGTTTGGTTCTCAGTCGCCCAGGGCAAAAGTGCCCTGCAGGCCAGAGGGGACTGGTTTTGAGCCATGCACGGGGCAGGGTGTTGGGTGGTCTCTGCCTCAGGCCCTGCGGTTGCGCTGACTTCACCCTGCTCACCTTGGGCTTCTGTGTTGGGGGTGTTAATGCGATTCGGGGCTGACCTCATCCTTGTTTCCTGGGAGCTCAGCTAACTCAGACCTGTCCATCCCCTGCAGCAGACCAACCGCCTGGCGCAGTGTATACTGCAGGTTGTCATTTAGAGATTAGGGTACTCCTGCACCTTTTCATAGTCCGTTAGTTTCTTTCAGAAAAACAATTCTTCACTGATGATCCCAAGTATTGGGTTCTAAGGGTGATAGAAACTTAAGTGAGATGTGGTGTTTTCAAGAGCTCAGGCTCTCGGCTGAGCTGAGGCCAGACTCCGCCTCAGTGCCTTCCCCTCAGTGTCTCAGCAAAGAAACGTAGTAAGTGCTCCCAGCTAACTCTTGTCTTTTTCTTGCCCCTCCCTCCTAAGGGTGAGCTTGTCGGCCACAGACTGTTACATTGTGCACGAGATCTACAATGGGGAGAACGCGCAAGACCAGTTTGAGTATGAGCTGGAGCAGGCCCTGGAAGCCCAGTACAAGTACATCGTGATCGAGCCCACCCGCATCGGCGATGAGACCTCGCGCTGGATCACTCTGGGCAACTATCTGCACAAGACCACCGTGCTGGCAGGCACCGCTTGCCTCTTCACCCCACTGGCACTGCCCCTAGATTACTCCCACTACATCTCCCTGCCCGCGGGCGTGCTGAGCCTGGCCTGCTGCACCCTCTACGGCATCTCCTGGCAGTTTGACCCCTGCTGCAAGTACCAAGTGGAGTACGACGCCTATAAACTGTCCCGCCTGCCCCTGCACACACTCACCTCCTCCACCCCCGTGGTGCTGGTCCGGAAGGACGACTTGCACAGAAAGAGACTGCACAACACGATAGCGCTCGCCGCCCTGGTGTACTGTGTAAAGAAGGTGTACGAGCTCTACGCCGTATGATCGCACGCCCCGAGGGAGCAGGCAGCCGGCCCACAGGAGACAGCAGAGTATGCAGGTCGCACAGGAACATTTTTTTGCTCCATGAGGCAATGGAGCCTGGGAAGGTGTTTGGTTTAATAGTTGTTATTTTTTAAAAATAACACAGATCACAAATGTACCAAGGGTTTTTTCAACTCGCCTCACTAAGCTGTGGATTTCTGCAACCCACAGGGAGTCTGATGAGGCCATGTTCTGACTGGGCATGGAATGTTGATGGGAGCTGAGGGGGGTGAGTGTGCTGGGGTGGAGTCTTGAAGTTTATTGTTTAACTACCTTCCAGAGCCAACCAGAAGCAATTGACCATTAAAATGATGAGAATTTCAACTCCAGGTGTCTTTGCTTTTCATGACTGTGCCAGTAGCTGCTGCAGTCGGCCCGTGGATGGCACCAGAGGCCGCCCTGCGTCTGGCTGCAGCCGGTGTCAGCACGTGAGTAGAGCAGGCCCTGAACAGGGCAGGCTTAGACCCACCCAGAGACATCTCCTGTCTCACCTGGCCCTGCTTCCCAGGCTAGCACTGCTCAACGCCGTGCAGGGACGGGACAGGGGAGGGTGACAGGCCTGGAGGTCGCCGGGCCTCTGGTGCATGTGCACAACTGGGGTCTGACCTCTTGCCCAGGTTTGGATTTAGGACAATGAGAAGCTCACGTCTGCACCTGTTTAAAGCACTGGAGCTGTTCCTCACGTGCCCTGAGCAGGCCTGTTCCGCAGGTGCCGAGTCCTGTGCTGCTTGCACACCGAAAGGCCTGTGAGCACCACCTTCCACCTTCCCTCTAAGCCTTTGCGTAAATGGAATTATCCCTCCACGAAGAAGTTGGGCCCCTGCCTTAACGGCAGCTTTCCCAAGACCTGCTCTCAGCCATCCTTGAGCTACGGAAGGGTCAGGGCCCATCCGCAAGGTCATCCTGGAGAGCAATGCCGATCTGTACGAAGGCCTCGGGCGATGGACATTTTTTCTAGACCCAGAGCTTTAAAGGTGAAAGGCACCCATGGTGGGGCAAGCCCTTGAGATCTTGCTCCTGGGCAGCCTGGTTCAGATAAACTCACAGAAATTCAAAAACAAAACGAGGAGCCCATGGCCACCAGCTGGAGAGACTGCTTGAACTCTAAGGGCCCTGGAGACACTAATCACTCGGTTGAGTGCCAGGGGCCAGAAACCGTGTTGGGTAAACACTACTGTTTCCATGGTGGTCTGGTCACTGGGACCCGGCAAATTGGCAGTGATCCCAGACAGACCTCAGCTCAACTGTGCGATGCCCACGACTGGGCTGCCTGACTGCTGGCCCCTGAGCCTGCTGGGCAGGAAGGGTAGGTATTGTAATAGCCCAGATTTGGACAGGGAGCCCCATGCCCTGCCTGCAAATCAGGTTTCCTGGGGGAGGCAGATAGACGCAGACAAGCAGTGCCATCCCAGGCCTGCTGAGCAGCAGCCCTCGCCAGAAACGGAGGCCAGGTGCACAGCACAAAGTGATTGCTGTCGGGTGGACCAGCCCCGGTTCTGAAATGCCACCTTAACTGTGTCCATGCTGGAGTGAGCACAGACTAGCTGAGCGGTGCCCCAGGCAGGGAAGGAGCCGTAGAGCCACCTCCCACATCGGGGTGTCCGGCCCTCTGCTGGTGCCCGACGTACCTATTCTGCCACCTTCCACCTAGACACAGCTGACACAGGTCATGCTCACGTTACCAGGCCACAGCGCTCTTGAAAAAACGAAATAGCTGCCACCTGAGAGGAAGCAGAGGCCAGGTGAGGTGGGCCTCCTCTGCTGAGTCCACAGGCATGAGCCCCGTGTGTGTGCTTGTGACTGGGTCATGCCGTTCACCTAGTACCCGAGTCTGGTTTTAACTACCTGCCTCCCTCCAATTTCAGAGAAGAGCAAACTTGGACGGTCTCTCTCCTTGGTCCCATCTGTCAGCTCCCTCCAGAGCAGTGTGCACATCTGGTTCGGCAGCTGTTAGTCCCTGAGGGGGAGAAGGGAAGCTCTCTGCTCAGGGCTGCTGGGAGCCAGGCCGAGTGTCGGGCAGCTGTGCCCTCTGCACCTCGCACGAGCGCTGTCCCTCGGCACAGGTGTGCACAGCCTCTGTCGGGAAAAACTCATTCAGTTTTGTTTTTCAGACTCTGATTTTGGCATAAAGCACAGGACAGTGAAACGCCAAGAATCTTGTAAAGTGGAAGGTGTCTTTGAACTTTATCTGAAGGCAGAACTAAGAATCGTGCTTTTCCAACCTACCCATCAGAAGCAAGAATAAAAGATGGGAAAACCACCTTCAAGGACGAAAGAGAGAAACTGGACACCACTACCCCTGGGGGCAGACATTCAAACGTGGGTTTGAGCCAAAGGCCAGGCCTGGCCCAGCTCCCCTCTTTGGGGTGCTCTTGTGCGGGGTGCACTCACCCTCAGACAACTGCTCACTGCCATCCACGTCACAGCTCCACAAGCCCCACCTTTACCAAACCTGCTCTCCAGGGAGCGGCACCCAGGAGGGCTTAGGTGCAACCTGGGCATCAGAGAGCCCTGAGCCACCGGCCCCTCAGTCCGCCTCCTAGTTGCTGAGGGCAGAGCATCTGTGGTGCGAGCACACCTCTGGTACCTCAGACCCTGCCGACCCGAGAGCCAAGCAGACAGTGGACCTAGCTAGTTTTAATGGATTTGTTTGTATTCTATCACTTTCTATTTATACGGTAGAATACAAAGTTTCTATAATAAGCCTTAGACAGTGAGCTGCGTATGTAAAAAAAAATGTTAGGCAGCTCAGCCCATGGGGCTCAGTGGTTGAGCATCGACCTATGAGCCAGGAGGTCTGATTCCCCAGTCAGAGCACATACGCAGGTTGCAGGTTCCATCCCCAGTGTGAGGGGTGCAGGAGGCAGCTGATCAATGACTCTTCGATGTTTCTCTCCCCCTCTCTCTGAAATCAATAAAAATATATTTTAAAAACCATAGAACGTTAGGCAAGTAAACACTCAGTGATATTCAATGTGATTCACGTGTCATAGATAGGTTGAGACCCTTTTTGTCTGCTTCAAGCTGCTTCCCAGCCTACACCTGAGGCCACTGTTGCAGCTGCTCCCAAACCACTCACCTCCACACACAGCCACCGCCATGGCCGCCGCCTGGAGGGCAGTGCACCCCATCGGCCCCAGCTGCTGGCCATTTACTTAATGGAGAGGAAAGGACAGCACCCAGACAGGGCCCTTTAGAAAGTACCAGCCAAGGAGTGTCCAGGGAGAGCTGTTCTCATCCCACCTACAGAGACAGCGTCCTGGCTGCCTTCGAGGGATGCTGGCGTTGGCATGTCTGACCAGCCAGGCGTCAGCGTGGCGCCACTGCCGGCTCTAGTCCACTCTTTCCTCGTATGGAAGGAGCCCTTTCCTGACGCCAGGAGGGAGGGAGCTGGTTTCTGAGGAAAGTGAAAAGCCACGTGTCGCGTGTATATCCATCCACATTCCAGCCACGGGTCCTGGGATGGATGTGTGGGCGCGTGGGAGCTGGGGTAGGTCACCACATCCAACCCACTCCTCGTCCTCCAACTTTCAGGAAACTTGCGAGCCTTGAACACCCGACTCACAGGCTGCTCTAGCCGTTGTCATTTGGGGAGTAGCTGCTGAAATGGCAAGCTCCATAGTCCAGTTAGGACGGAGTGCAGGATAGTGTGACGTGCGAGGGACTTACTCCAAGGCGGGGAAGCCTACACAGTGGACCCCCATTTCCACTGTCAGCTCCAATAGGGGGAAGTTTCGTTCTGAACTGATGTGTGAAGCTGACCGAAGGAACCTCAACCATGGAGTGTTAGTAAGTCTGCCACAGGCACCCTCTCTGGCTACTCTCAACCGTCACAGCCAACAAGTGGCTGCTTCCACCAGGGAGAGCCCCCAGCCCGGCCGCATGGCTCAGAGGCTGAGCGTCGACCTAGGAACCAGGAGACCACAGTTCATTCCGTCAGGGCACACAACTGGGTTGTGGGCTAGATCCCCAGTGGGAAAAGTGCAGGACGTAGCCGATCAATGATTCTCTCCCATCATTGGTGTTTCTCTCTCCCTCCCCCTTTCTCTCTGAAATAAAAAATATTTTTTAAAAAGAGTCCCCGCCCCCGACCGGATTCCGAGCCTCACACCAGAGGACACATGGACCACGTGTCCTTTTCCCGTAGACGCGGTCTCCTTAGTGCGTCTCCTCTGGGAGTGGCGCCTGGTCCTGCTGGGCTGGG